AAATGACACTTCCCAAATACTCAACAGAATAAATAATGTCTTAGTCCCTAACATCAAGATGTGTGGTTGGTAAAGTAATGAATGAATGCACAAATGAAACAAAATATCCGGTATCTGGCAAAATTCCAGAAATGGTGAGGTTCCTGTAGCTTGCCATCTTGTAGAGCTTCCTCCCGGTCATCTTGTATTATTCATCTCTTTTCTAGTGATTTTCTCCTGGTATGTGGGTTCCAGTAAAAGGAAATCATAATTATACAATCACCAGGTTTTCTCAGCGCACCACTCTCAGTTTTTGATTTACCTAAATTCCTTTTAGTTGTCTCCCTCACATTTCCACATTTGGCATGTACAGCTAAGATGCCATCCCATGTAAAATGTCATTAAAGGTGAGATTGGCAACCTACATACAATGTCTTTTTATAACCAAAAGTTCCTCCCTTGCATAATCTCAGTGGACACCTTTCCTTGCAGCTATGTACAATCTATGGATATAGCCAAAACTGCTAACCCCTGTACAATCTCTGAATGCAAAGACATACATTTTTGCAAAGACATACAGTCAATTAACCACTGCAAAGGCATCAGAAACATACTCTCAAAACCTAAATAACTGTTCTGCTAGTATGTGTAAAATAAACCCATCCATCACTTAATTACTTATATAATACACAAACCACACTACTTCCAACAGGGGGAAAAAAAAGAGTGTGTGCTGAATGAAAATCAAACATACTAAAAAAAAAAAAAAACTATTGCTAAAGATATTGTACAGCACTTTCATAAGTTAAAGCTTGCTTGAGCGACTGGTTTGCTTTGTGTTGTGGCTGGCCTCTTGTTTGAGCGACCGGTTTGCTTCGTGTTGTGGCTGGCCTCTTGTTTGAGCGACCGGTTTGCTTGGTGTTGTGGCTGGCCTCTTGTTTGAGCGACCGGTTTGCTTGGTGTTGTGGCTGGCCTCTTGTTTGAGCGACCGGTTTGCTTGGTGTTGTGGCTGGCCTCTTGTTTGAGCGACCGGTTTGCTTGGTGTTGTGGCTGGCCTCTTGTTTGAGCGACCGGTTTGCTGGTGTTGTGGCTGGCCTCTTGTTTTTCCCACGCCAACAGATCAGAAAGAAAATAACTGTGTCCTAGTAAACACCAAATTATTTTCCTCATAAAATGAGAGAGTCATAAGTTATTCAATAATTCAGGTATTTCACACAAACAATATGCAGTTTTTATCTTTCTTAACTGGAGTTATATCAACAACCTTGGTACTTTAATTCTCAAAGTGCAGAAGGCCAGTATTTTGCTATTTCCAAATTCTCATATTTGGATGCCAGTCATCACAGTCAATAACTTTTACAAAACCTGTTTCGCTACTGTGCTTGTTGATACTTTTACAAAACCTGTTTCGCTACTGTGCTTGTTGATACTTTTACAAAACTTGTTTCGCTACTGTGCTTGTTGATACTTTTACAAAACCTGTTTCGCTACTGTGCTTGTTGATACTTTTACAAAACCTGTTTCGCTACTGTGCTTGTTGATACTTTTACAAAACCTGTTTCGCTACTGTGCTTGTTGATACTTTTACAAAACCTGTTTCGCTACTGTGCTTGTTAATACTTTTACAAAATTGTTTCGCTACTGTGCTTGTTGATACTTTTACAAAATTTGTTTCGCTACTGTGCTTGCTGATACTTTTACAAAATTGTAGACTGAGTGCTGGAGTAAAGTAGTTTAGAGCTTATACCTTTGCTTATGTCCCCCTTAAACAGGCTCGTTTCACTGTGTGGATTGTTAACTACTCCCTTCCCCCAAACCCTTGGACAGTAGATTCTGTTTAGCTGTGCAGACAAGGGTGGAAAACTTGGAGGACAAGGGTGGACAAACCTGCAGGACAAGGGTGGACAAACCTGCAGGACAAGGGTAGAAACACCTAGAGGACAAGGGTGGAAACACCTGGAGGACAAGGGTGGAAAACTTGGAGGACAAGGGTGGAAACACCTGGAGGACAAGGGTGGAAACACCCGAAGGACAAGGGTGGAAACACTTAAATGACAAGGGTGGAAACACTTAAATGACAAGGGTGGAAACACTTAAATGACAAGGGTGGAAACACCTGGAGGACAAGGGTGGAAACACTTAAATGACAAGGATGGAAACACTTGGAGGACAAGGGTGGAAACACTTAAATGACAAGGATGGAAACACTTGGAGGACAAGGGTGGAAACACTTGGAGGACAAGGGTGGAAACACCTGGAGGACAAGGGTGGAAACACTTGGAGGACAAGGGTGGAAACACCTAGAGGACAAGGGTGGAAACACTTGGAGGACAAGGGTGGAAACACCTAGAGGACAAGGGTGGAAACACTTGGAGGACAAGGGTGGAAACACCTGGAGGACAAGGGTGGAAACACCTGGAGGACAAGGGTGGAAACACTTGGAGGACAAGGGTGGAAACACCTGGAGGACAAGGGTGGAAACACTTGGAGGACAAGGGTGGAAACACCTGGAGGACAAGGGTGGAAACACTTGGAGGACAAGGGTGGAAACACCTGGAGGACAAGGGTGGAAACACTTGGAGGACAAGGGTGGAAACACCTGGAGGACAAGGGTGGAAACACTTGGAGGACAAGGGTGGAAACACCTACAGGACAAGGGTGGAAACACTTGGAGGACAAGGGTGGAAACACCTGGAGGACAAGGGTGGAAACACTTGGAGGACAAGGGTGGAAACACCTGGAGGACAAGGGGGTGGAAACACCTGGAGGACAAGGGGAAACACTTGGAGGACAAGGGTGGAAACACTTGGAGGACAAGGGTGGAAACACCTGGAGGACAAGGGTGGAAACACCTGGAGGACAAGGGTGGAAACACTTGGAGGACAAGGGTGGAAACACCTACAGGACAAGGGTGGAAACACTTGGAGGACAAGGGTGGAAACACCTGCAGGACAAGGGTGGAAACACCTGGAGGACAAGGGTGGAAACACTTGCAGGACAAGGGTGGAAACACCTGGAGGACAAGGATGGAAACACTTGGAGGACAAGGGTGGAAACACCTGGAGGACAAGGGTGGAAACACCTGGAGGACAAGGGTGGAAACACCTGGAGGACAAGGGTGGAAACACTTGGAGGACAAGGGTGGAAAGACTTGGAGGACAAGGATGGAAACACTTAGAGGAGAAGGGTGGAAACACCTAGAGGACAAGGGTGGAAACACCTGGAGGACAAGGGTGGAAACACTTGTAGGACAAGGGTGGAAAACTTTCAATTTCCAACTACAAAGGGATTTTTTAACTTGCGCAACAATACATATGGGCATCCAATCTTACTTTCCAGAGAGCAGGTGAAATGGGCCTGAACCCAGGACCTTCAGCATTCAAGGCAGACACCATGCCTTAAGACCACTCAGCCCCCTCCGCTATTACGGTCAACAAATAAATGGTTTTTGCCTGAAGGGGTTACAATTTTAACATGATGAGCTTAAATGAGTTAAAGTAACAACTGGATTAGAGCGGGTTAGGCTAACAATAAACTGGGGCACACTGGATTCTATCTCAGTCCTATACTAATATGTTTGGTTGGTCAGTGAGTTATTGTTGATTGATCAGGTTTATCCACTTCTGGTGTGAGATGATTCAGAGTCTATGTTTCCATGTCCAACCAGCCAGATTTTTGGACTCAGGTTTTTCTTGGCCTAATTCACCTTCTCTTTCATTTTTCGTTTTAAATTTTCACCTTGCAGAATTGCATGCTGTAGGGTCAGCATCCCACCAGAGAGAAGCAAACCCCAGAAAACAACTCAAATCAAACAACACATTTATATTACAGCAACCTAATGTTACAAAGTAAACTGTAGATCAGTGTGGCTGGGTGTGTTTTGTGTCCTTGTACTGGGCCCTGCAGTATAGTTCTGAAAAGACCAGTAGATCTTATGTCCACACTACTGCATGTTATAGCTTCCTACTGTTGTTGAAGGACACAGGATTAGGGGTATCATACCACAGATGGAGTCATCAACAACAGCTCTGTGACTTCCTGGAGACAGGTTTGAATATCCCTTTACTTTATGTTAAAGTATATAATATATACATTTTAATATAGGCAAAAGAGTAGATAACTCTTATCAAATCCTCTGCTACTTCAGGATATTGCACTCTTTTCACTTCTCCAACATCTTCCCAAGAATTCTTGGCTACAGTAAACCAGCTGTTGTCTTTCAGAATATTACGTGGTGTGGCCCCAATCTCTTTCACAGTGTGATTCTTGTACATTGAAATTTGTCACCACAGAAATCTAACCCTAGTTCTAGAGGACAGCTATTCAACTAGTGGCCCGCAGGCAACATCTGGCCTATGGCCCGCAGGCAACATCTGGCCTATGGCCCGCAGGCAACATCTGGCCTATGGCCCGCAGGCAACATCTGGCCTATGGCCCGCAGGCAACATCTGGCCTATGGCCCGCAGGCAACATCTGGCCTATGGCCCGCAGGCAACATCTGGCCTATGGCCCGCAGGCAACATCTGGCCTATGGCCCGCAGGCAACATCTGGCCTATGGCCCGCAGGCAACATCTGGCCTATGGCCCGCAGGCAACATCTGGCCTATGGCCCGCAGGCAACATCTGGCCTATGGCCCGCAAATCATTGCCAGTTGTATTGCATTAATAATCTTTCTATGCTGAGGCTCAGGCCTTCATCCCGAGATGATAGTCATTTTCAAAATTGTGTCCCCTCTGTAAACTTGGCGGAATAGCCATACACTAGAGGGTACAGAAAATGTTAAACACATTTGCTAGCCTCAAAGCCACATAGCTGCTCTACCTCCTTGTAATGATAACAATCCACAGAAATCTTCCAATTATTCCCTTGGCCTGTCATGCTTATATATTATGATGATCAATTCTGAAGAACTGATTTTTTTCCAGACTGTCGTTCAGAACTCTTGCAAGTGTAAGAATATAAATGTAGAGATCCTTGGAGATGTTGGAATACAACAAGATGACTGTCCTCAGCATCCTAGCTAGACCATAGTTTGAGGACTGTGGGATGGAGAGTTTGACCCAGGAAGGACATGGTCCTCCTCCATCTTAGAGGTCAAGTTCAAGGGTGAGCCTGAGCCGAGCCTAGATAGGAAGAAAAGAAATGAAACAGAAACGTTACATGCAGTGTCTGAGAAATTACAGAGAATAAAGCATTACCAAATCCTAGAATCCTAATGCCACCCCCCTCCTTCCCCAAATATATATATATTATGATATTTATGATTACCAAACTAACTAACTAACTAACTAACTAGCTAACTAACTAGCTAGCTAGCTAATTTTTTAGGATTTCAGAAGTGTCTGTCACCAGCAAGGCTGAATAGTTACAATCTTGGTACTGATCCTTGTTTTTCCTTGTGTTCTATCTTATACACCCATTGCAAAGACTTGAATGCAGGCAAAACTACAGGTGAATCATAAAGATTCATTTCGTTCTACCCAGACAGACAGACAGACAGACAGACAGACAGACAGACAGACAGACAGACAGACAGACAGACAGACAGACAGACAGACAGACAGACAGACAGACAGACAGACTTAAACGACAGTATGGATGACCAGTTGAATGAAGAACACTGCTTTACAGCATACTGCAAACTGACCCCAGTTTTAGTTAACTCTTTGTGGTTTTACTTGGCGATTTTACACTGAGCAGTTTTGATGTTTACCTTTGCCTAAATATAGGTTAAAAAAAAATCAGTAAACAGTTAATGCTTACCGTCTCTGAATGGCATCCGAAGCAGCCGCTACCTGGCCCTGAGCAATCATTTGAGCTAAATGTTGCATGCTGCTAAGTGGGGACATAGAAGTGGGATTGGAATTGACTGGTGCAGCCAAACTGTTTCTGTAGTTGGAGTACTGCTGACTCAGCATGGAATGGTACATTGGGAGGGAGGTAGGGGGGATGTCTTGGCACAGCAGCATATGAGACAGTTGGGACATTCTGTGAGGGGAGAATGCTCTGGATGGGTCAGGGTGGGAAGTTGTGGGTGCTGACAGCATTGCTGCTGCAGATGCTGTGCCACCAGGTGAACTGGAAAATGGAAAAACATGTCCTGGTGCAGAGGCTGCTGGTGATGAGGATGGTGGAGTTGATGTTGTGATTGAGCCAGTAGGTGGCGTTGACGATGACAGTGTCAGTTTTGTAGCAAGTTCCTTATTGAGATCCAACGTGCCAGAAAGGACTGCTTGAACTGTTGGGGAGTTTGACTTCGACCACTGGCATGAATTCGGTGTGTTCGATCCTGTGCCTCCACCCGAAGCAGATGAGTCCTTACCTATTTTGCAGAGGTTCTCCATGCTGTCATATTTACGAAGAATTTTGTCCTTTAAGTGAGAGACCGCTGCTGCATGGAATTCCTCCTTGGTGTTGGTAGACTTGTGGTCTGAGCTACAGCCTGTGGTTTGACTAGAAAAAGTGACAGGGACGGAGGGGCCTGAAGAACTGTTGCCATTGATAGCCACTGACTGACGGCTGGGAGCTTGTACCGAGGATGATGCTGAAGGCGGTGACGATGAAGATGTGATCAGTCCTGCAAAGCTGGAACTCTGGGGTGTGAAGAATGGTTGTCTGAACAGTTGGGTCTGAAGCTGAGAGTGCGAGCCACCAGCTAACTGTGATGGAACTGCCCAAGAATAGCCGGACGGGATACTTGCTGAGGGTACTGCTGCTGGCACTGCTGTTGTAGTTGGCAAGTGGGGAGAACTCTGCCTGGCAGCAGCGCCACCATTCATGAGCTGAGCCAACAAGTTTGGATGGGCTTCCCTGGCGGACAGCTTTGGCCGGTCACTGTTGGGAGAAGGGGTTGAGCAGTTGGATACTGATGGACTGATTTCAAAATGAGGACCTTTCCTCTCTGCCTTCATGTCTGTAACATCAACTTTCAGCTCCTTTGACTCACTATCCTCCTCTGCAACTTCATCGTCTTCCATTCGTTCTTCTTTAATTCTCAAGTCCATTTTTTCCTTACTTATGGCTACATTGACTTGCTCTTCTGTTGCAGAAGCAGAAGATGCATCCCCCTGGACTTTATCCTTGCGAAATTTATCAAATTTCTTGTGACCAAAGGACTCTGAATAAAGGTCATCACTTATGGGGGATCCTCTCAGAGAGCTTGCCTTTGAGCCAAAGCTGACCTCTGGGGTAGATGCCTTCGATCTCAGTCCTGGTGCTAAAGTGTCCACATTAATCAAGGCACTGTCTGCAATAAGATCCCCAGCTTTGTTTTCTTGGAAACTGCTCTTTCGTTCTGCAGGTGTAATGATACTGACAGGAGAGGAACTTCCTGTATGGAGATGTGCAGACAGGAGACTGGCTGTTGTGGGCATGGTACTCCTATCAGCCGCTGTCTTCTCTCCAACTGAATCAAGCTTAGAGATTTTCTGAGCCTGAGTGTCCAATGAGTCTCGTATGGCAACACTGGGATTTCCATTTTGCCCATTTGCTGACATTTTTCCCAACTCCCTTTGAAGGGAGTCCCGAGACTCTCTGGAGACACAGTTGGTGTTTTCCCACTCTTGGGGCCTTGAGTTCAAAGGGCGTCCCAAGTCATCTCTGGTACGCTGCATGACAGAAACCGGGACAGGGGCAGCTACTCCCATAGCTAAAGTGGCTTGTGGGTGCCACAGACTTTGAGGATGTTGAGAGGTCATGTCTGGGGCCAACTGGATGCCATAGACTGAGCCATCTGGCATCATTCTCTGAAGACGAAGAGGGGAATATGTCAACACAGGAAGAGATTAAGCACTTACGACAACATCCTGTACACTGAATATGATTATTTTCTAAAAACCCATAAACTTTATTTATGTAAGATTGAACATATAAAAAGCCAAATGATAAGTAGAACTAGTCAACTTCACATTATCTCAAACAATAATGAAAAATTTCATTAAATATACAATACAAACAAGATCAAATTTAACTGATTAAATCGTTAAATTACAGGCTGTTTCATACAATTATTTCCTGAATCCAAAAACTATATGCTCCCTGACCAGATTTTCTGGTGGTTGAAGTAAAATTAGTATAATCACTGTGTGGCTTCTCAGGCTTCATTTTGTGGGAAACAGAACAGACCCATTGCCCATTAAAGGTAGGTAGCATCAAGTGACTAATAAAGGGTTCAGCTTGATGTTGCCCTCATCATCCACCCAGTGTCTACTGGTCTATAACATACAGGTCTATAACATACAGGTCTATAACATACAGGTCTATAACATACAGGTCTATAACATACAAGTCTATAACATACAGGTCTATAGCATACAGGTCTATAACATACAGGTCTATAACATACAGGTCTATAACATACAGGTCTATAACATACAGGTCTATAACATACAGGTCTATAACATACAGGTCTATAACATACAGGTCTATAACATACAGGTCTATAACATACAGGTCTATAAACATACAGGTCTATAACATACAGGTCTATAACATACAGGTCTATAACATACAGGTCTATAACATACAGGTCTATAACATACAGGTCTATAACATACAGGTCTATAACATACAGGTCTATAACATACAGGTCTATAACATACAGGTCTATAACATACAGGTCTAGCCCTGACATGATCTTTTGGGTCATATATGGCAGCCTAGCTGTAATGACATGAACCACATGTCAACTGCTGACATGAACCACAACATGACATGTCAACTGCTGACATGAACCACAACATGACATGTCAACTGCTGACATGAACCACAACATGACATGTCAACTGCTGACATGAACCAAAACATGACTTGTCAACCGCTGACATGAACCACAACATGACATGTCAACTGCTGACATGAACCACAACATGACATGTCAACTCCTGACATGAACCAAAACATGACATGTCAACCGCTGACATAAACCACAACATGACAACCGCTGACACGAACCACATGACATGTCAATCACTGACATGAACCACACAATGACATGTCAACCGCTGACATGAACCAAAACATGACATGTCAACCACTGACATGAACCATAACATGACATGTCAACTGTTGACATGAACCAAAACATGACATGTCCACCTCCCTTTAGAAGGCAAAGGCAGAAGAAATATTTAAAAAAAGCAAACAATGTATAAACAGAATGACCCTGACCTTCATGACTGGGAGACTCTCTCCCTCTGTGGATTTGTCAATTTCTACCCGCCCGTGGATGTAAGAGAAAGGACGATCAACCAGTGATGAGGGCTTGTGAGCATGGAGGCCATAAGAAGCTCCGACACTGCTGCGTCTCATATCTGGCGATAGATAGTGGCTGCCGTCAGATGCTATCTGGCCATCACGCTCCTGGCCTGGATCGCCGGCCAGCATGCGCCGCTGCAGAGACATGCGTGCAGCCCTTCCCTCACTGTTTAGGTGAAAGCTGAAGCAGCGAGGTCGTGCGTTGGCATAGTCTTCCTGGGTAAATGATCCAGATCGAGACCTATGCAAATGAAAAAATGCAACATTCACTAAAAAGTCAAACATTTATTATCAAATGCAACATTCAAAATAAATCTCATTTCCTCTTGGTGTCAAAGTAATGTATAAATCGTAGGAAAGTGTCCATTTGCGTACAACTTACATAGGGTTTACATAACACCCAGGGCTTCCAAGGGACTTTTGTTATTCCCTTCTGTATGCTAAATAATGTCAAAGTGTTATATATAAAATACTGTCAAAACAAAATGATAAATACATATATATATTTATATATATAAAAAACAATGTCAACACAGAGTGTTATATACAGAATACTGTCAATGCAAAGTGTTATATACAAAATACAGAAGCTGTATATATAGAATACATATATACATACTTATCAGAGACTCGTCATGGGCAGGTACCCCACCCCACCAAAGTTTAAGGCTCCATTTTAAAAAAGGGAAAAACCCACAGACCTACTGACCCTTTGCAAGCATGTCATAAAAGATAACTAGAAGAAGGTTTGCTGAAATCTTATATCTTGGCCTAAAATCAGATTTGTTTGGCCGAAATTTATAGGTATGCACTTTAGCTGTAGAAACAACATAATGTGCCAATCGCAGAAGAAAAGACATGAACACAAGAACGCACACAGTTATAAAAACACACACTTTGAGAAAATGAACATCAAATTTGCTGAGGACAACAGTATTACACAATTAACTTGACAAGAGGGCAGGGGTCAAATAACACGGCATTTACCTGGATTTAGGAGACCCTGGCGAGGATCCCGACCTTGCAGCAGCCATGAAAGCTTCTGTCCCACTCAAAGGACTGGAGCGGGTTGCCAGAGAAGATGAATGTCCCAGAATTCCATCCGGCACTGTGATTGGAGCAAAGCTGGCATTAGATGGAACTGGGTAATGCACGTTGGCTTCTTCCTGAATAGGAGAGCTTGTGGCTGAGTTTGACATTGACGGGGGCAGAGAGTCTCCTCTGATGACATTCCTGGACTCCAGCCGATCGCTCAGTCTGAGGACAACCACAGCAGTTGCACTGATTTTTCATTCTCAAAAAATACATTTCACAGTGCATGCCCTACATGCAAAAAACTCTTCTGGCATCATGGAGCTCATCATGCAGCTCATCATGCAGCTCATGCACCTCATCATGCAGCTCATCATGCAGCTCATGCACCTCATCATGCAGCTCATCATGCAGCTCATCATGCAGCTCATCATGCAGCTCATCATGCAGCTCATCATGCAGCTCATCAGGCAGCTCATCAGGCAGCTCATCAGGCAGCTCACCATGCACCTCATCATGCAGCTCATCATGCAGCTCATCATGCAGCTCATCATGCAGCTCATCATGCAGCTCATCATGCAGCTCATCATGCACGTCATCATGCACCTCATCATGCAGCTCATCATGCAGCTCATCATGCAGCTCATCATGCAGCTCATCATGCAGCTCATCATGCACCTCATCATGCAGCTCATCATGCACCTCATCATGCAGCTCATCATGCAACTCATCATACAGCTCATCATAAGCTCATCATGCAACTCATCATGCAACTCATCATGCAACTCATCATTCAGCTCATCATACAGCTCATCATGCAACTCATCATGCAGTTCATCATGCATTTCATCATGCAACTCATCATACAGCTCATCATACAGCTCATCATACAGCTGCTTTTTTTGGTACCCATAGTAACTCATTAATAGGAATTGTCTGTTTTATTTCCACCCATAGTAACTCATTAATAGGAATTGTCTGTTTTATTTCCACCCATAGTAACTCATTAATAGGAATTGCCTGTTTTATTTCTACCCATAGTAACTCATTAATAGGAATTGCCTGTTTTATTTCTACCCATAGTAACTCATTATTATGAATAGCCTGTTTAATTTCTACCCATAGTAACTCATTAATGAGAACTGCCTGTTGTATCTGTACCTATTTTTTTAAATACTCAAACATTGCTTTTTGAAATGTAGCGTGAGAAATTATCCCATTTTCACTGGAACACTTTGGGTGTGACCAGTCCCATCCATACCCACCCCCCTCAAAATCCTGGCCAGTTGTCCCTTTTATAAAAATCTACGAATAAGCTCGATATCAGAACATTCGTTTATAATTATATCTGTGGACCATACTAGATTTCATAGGTTTAGAGACTTTTAATGTCCAAAATGTTGACAGGGATTATCACTGTAGCACATTTTTGTTGCAGTTAAATAGCATATTGTTGCATTCCTAGCAATAATGGTTTGGGTTTCAACACTAGTGCTGAGCGAGTAATCACCAACCCTTTCACTTTGATGACCTAGATCCTTTTAGGGGTATGGGGGTTCAGAGTTTGGGGTTAAACTGACTTGCATTATCAGATTAAAATAATAGGATATCCAATTTTCAGATTAAAATAACACTTTGAGCTCAAGATATTATGGTGACTATTTAAACTAGAACTTCTTAGGATATCAACAGTCAAAATAATCATAAGCTGGTACCAAAAATGTTCACATATAAAATAATTGATGTGATATTTATCATCTATCTACATCTATGACCTCAGATCAATGGAGTACATGATTATTTATGCGACAGCACATTATGGACAGTCTTCTTCAACTATTATATACCTGGCAAAATATATAAACCCTAGTTTTTACAACAACAATGAGTATGATAATAGTTTTTACTTAATTCCATGAAATCTGTTCTCAGCTTGAGGCTTAACCTCTCACCCAAACTCCCAGATTACCCACTGACCTACTAACCTCTGGCCTACATTTGCACTAGCATGGCAATCTAGACTTTTTAGCAGTAACAAATGTAAAATCTCGCAATCAAGCATTTAGAGTTGCCTCCCTGCTGCGATGCAATCAGCACTACAATTAGATGCCATTTTTTTTAAAATTTCTGTTTTATGAAATCTCCAAGAGAAGGAAATAGTCTGGGTTATAGGAATATAGGTCATGGACAAGAAAGATGGATAACTTTATAGTACTGGCATCTATTTTCTCATCTTCTCCCCCCCCCCCCCCCCACCCACTACCACCCCCATGGATCATACACCCTCAACCAACTCACACCAAGTCATGCAACTCTTTGCTGTCATGTGCAGCTCACCTCATATCCTCCCTATCTTTTTCACTGAACTCTCTAATTCTCTTTTCTGTATGTGTATTTCTTTTGGTCTGCCTATATTCCTCAGGGTTCCAATGAAAGAACATTCTAGTTATACTATCATCAGGTTTTCTCAATTATGTCTTATTCAATGCCAGCATCTTTTTCTCACCTACTGATTCACTGGAATTTGTTTAGTTCTCTCCTAAAGCTCTACACTGGTGATTGTATCATACTATTAAATTCCCTCTAGTGTGTTCAGCACCAATTAATGAATGAATGTAGTTTACTGGTAACTGTTTTAGTTGTTCTCCATGTTTCAGTTATATACAGCAGTACTAACCACACACACAAAAACTATCAAAACAAGGTGGAAATGGTCATGAGACATCTTCTGATAGTCCATGCCGTGTGACGTTGACCATCTTGTCTATCCCCAACCTTCTGTCTCGTGTACCGACAGTCTTATAGTCCATGCCGTGTAGCATTGGTAGTCCTGTCCACAACCTTCTGTCTCGTGTACCGACAGTCTTATATTCCATGCCATGTGGCATTGGTAGTCACATCTATCCACAACCTTCTGTCTCATGTACCGACAGTCTTATAGTCCATGCCGTGTAGCATTGGTAGTCACATCTATCCACAACCAGAAACAGACAGGAGCAACTTGCAGACAGACATACAGGCAATACACAGTACAGTGGAGAGTGATGCCACAATAAGTTTCCAGGTTATGAAAAAAAAAAGAAGAAGAACTGCGGAAAATATTGAAGTGTCTAATATCTGACCTGTTTGCCATCTTGTTAATATATTCCTTATCAAGGGTGTATCGGCGACGATTGCCTTCCTCAATTGTATGCAATCTAGGGCGACTCAGTGTGTCTCGGTCCAGAGTATTGCATCTTCGCCGGGGTTGATCAGTCATCATACCATAAAAACCTGACATTTCTTCTCGGAAGAATGTTCCGTATGGGGTCCTCAGCACGATCTGAAATAAGAAACAGTACACTAAATTTACTTCTTCATCATTATGTCACAGGTCCTCTACAGAAGGTCCCTCCCATCACAGCTCACCTGAAAGAAACTCAGACCTTCAATAGCTCTCCTTCTCTGCGCAAGGTGTATCCTGTTCCTGTGCCCACCTCTCTTACCCAGTACCATTCCCTCCACTGCTGTACTTTCCAAACACTGCAGCATTTACTATGGCTACAATACTTCAGTGAGCCAACTGTTCTCACAGTTTTCATCATCTAGAAGATCAATATTTCTTTTCTTCTTGTTTTTAATGATTGATACTTTACAATCATCAATTTAATTTCCAAAGACTGATGTTGAAATTGTCTGATGCCACTACACTATAAAATGTTCTTAGCAGATCTCTTCAGATCTACGTCTGCACTGCTTTAGATGAGCATCGCTTTAGATGAGATGTGTATCACTGCAGTATAAAATATGCTAAGAATTAGGAATGTGACCCAAAAAAAAAAGCTAAACAAAAGGGGAAAAGGGAAAAATGTTTATGCTTTGCCCTTTGTTGTGTAGTTCTTGTTCAGAAAGGCTTAGGGCAAAACATCGATGTGTCTGTTGCGTGTACAATGTTTCCCTTAAATCTGTTGCATTCACTGGATTAATTTCTTTGCATTAGCTTGAATACAGTCACTCCTGTTGTTTACCAGTTAAAGAATTAGTAAGCTAAAAAAAAAAAACATTACAAAACATAAATGTACGTACCTGATGCCCAGAAGGGTCAGATGTTAATCGCTGACCAATGACCAGATTACTGCCATCAGTTTCGCCGCTATATCCGGAGGTCATGGTCATGTTGGATGTCTCTGACAGTGTTGGTGACGAGCGACTGGACCTGCAAATGTAAACATGGACAGTGATTAGCATCAATCACTGTTTGATTGATTAACAAAGGATGGCTTCCAATTACCTGCCAGATTTTTACAGAAAGTTTTCTCATTATTTCCAAGAATATTCATCAAAGATATCTTCCCATTATTCAAAACTAAAATTACAGAAGATAATTTCCCATTATTCCCAAATAAAATTACAAAAGATAATTTCCCATTATTTCCAAGAACAATTACAGAAAATAATTTCCCATTATTCCCAAGGATAATTACAGAAAATAATTTCCCATTATTCCCAAGGATAATTACAAACTACTTTTCCTTATTATTTTTCAAACTATATTTACTACAAGTTGAAATGTCAAAAAACTGTGTAAACGAGGTCAAAGATTTATGACTTGGGATGGTCGATTCTCTTCCTTACTGCCCTTACACTCCCCAATTGGACTTCTTCGCTTCACCAGCTGTAAACTCTGGTTGTTCATCCACTTCTGGACTTTAGTCTTGTTCCAGACCTTGAGTCTTGCACGCAAATCCATTTTACAGATCTGTTTTTGTTGTTGTTGCATGCAGACTGTTTGTCCCTCACCCCTCAGGCAGCACCCCTCAGGCAGATGCACTCTGACTTTGAAGGGGAAAACCCCCTACTCAGTCACTTTTTATGTCATGCTTGTTGGAAAGGGTGAGGGGGGGGGGGGGGGGAGCAGTGGGTCGGTTCTATTCACCCCAAAAGTGAGCCTCGGAATCCACACAAGCAACTATGTGGACAAAAATATACAACCTCTACTGGACAAAGGAACAAATAATTCAGATCTGGTACAGACCTAGTACTGAGAGAGTCTTGAAAATCCATATCAACATCATCAGTTATGTCTCTTTCTTTTCTGTCCAGATTTGACCGTTGTCCAGCTGCAAAAATAAATGTTAACAAACAAATGAGATGCATGGTAGCTAGAGTCAATAAGTGCTACCCATCTCATTCATGATACAAAGTGACAAACAAAATCTTCCATGCTGTCACTTTTGTAATGAAGGTGAAGGACTTCATCTCCATGCTACTTTGGCATATTGCAAATGTCTGCCACATCTTTAGAAATGTCAACAAGATGTCCGCTTTTATAATAAGAGCAAATGTCTTTCTCTGTGTATGTGTGTGTGTGTGTGTTTGCGTGTATTTAGTAATTCATTATTGCTCTTTTTCTTTGTGTATAAGATATTCTCAGCCACATTTATACAATTATTTAACGGGCAGCCATAAGAGTGCAGGCCAGACACTTGCTTGCTCCCTGGAAGGTCTTGGGTTCAAGTCTGCACTGAGTCAGATTTGTCAATCTTTGTCTTGTGTGTTCACAAACTTAAGGCTGCAATATCTATGCCTGTAGCCCCATATATCCAGTTCAAGAAAAGCCCGGATTATTTGCTTTATGACATGCATGTTAGCAGTTTGGTAAAATCAGATGTGTGGGACTGAAAGCCTAGCTGTAAACCACAACACAACATGCCACCTGCCTTTTTGAGGGCGACTGCAGAAGAATAAAACATTCAAGGGCAGTGCAGCCTAAAACAAATACCAGGAAATGTTCCAGGAAGTAATACCAACAGTGATATACCAACAGCGATATACCAACAGCGATATACCAACAGCAATATACCAACAGTGATGTATCAACAGCGATGTATCAACAGCGATATATCAACAGTGATATACCAACAGTGATATACCAACAGTGATAAACTGATATACCAACAGTGATATACCAACAGTGATATACCAACAGCGATATACCAACATCAATATACCACCATCGATATACCAACAGTGATATACCAACAGTGATATACTGATATACCAACAGTTATATACCAACAGTGATATAGTGATATACCAACAGTGATATACCAACAGAGATATACAAGCAGTGATATATCATCAGTGATGTACCAACAGTGATGAACCAACAGAAGAAAAACAGACCCATTTGCCATAACAAGCATGTCCTAAGAGTCTACTAATTAGGGGTGTTTCCTTTAAAGAGAGAGTATATCCTGAGAGGCAAGGAACCAAAACTCTGCATACAAATTAAGCAGATCTGTAAATCAGATGTGCATGCAAAACTTAGGTTCTGAAAGAAGACTCAAGTCCAGAAGTGGATGAACAACCAGAACTTTCCGCCGAAGTTTACAGGTTGTGAACGCCAAGAAGAGTAAAAACTAGACAGTACATATACTGCCACATATGTCAAAAATAGACAGTGCATGTACTGCCACATATGTCAATCCTAGACAGTACATATATTACCACATTTGTCAAAACTAGACAGTACATATACTGCCACATTTGTCAAAACTAGACAGTACATATACTGCCACATATGTCAAAACTAGACAGTACATGTACAGCCACATATGTCAAAACTAGACAGGTCATGTACAGCCACATATGTCAAAACTAGACAGGTCATATACTGCCACATATGTCAAAACTAGACAGTACATATACTGCCACATATGTCAAAACTAGACAGTACATATACTGCCACATATGTCAACACTAGACAGTACATATACTGCCACATATGTCAAAACTAGACAGTACATGTACAGCCACATATGTCAAAACTAGACAGGTCATGTACAGCCACATATGTCAAAACTAGACAGGTCATATACTGCCACATATGTCAAATCTAGACAGTACATATACTGCCACATATGTCAAAACTAGACAGTACATATACTACCACATATGTCAAAACTAGACAGGTCATATACTGCCACATATGTCAAAACTAGACAGGTCATATACTGCCACATATGTCAAATCTAGACAGTACATATACTGCCACATATGTCAAAACTAGACAGGTCATATACTGCCAGATATGTCAAAACTAGACAGTACATATACTGCCACATATGTCAAATCTAGACAGTACATATACTAGCACATATGTCAAAACTAGACAGTACATATACTACCACATTTGTCAAAACTAGACAGTACATATTCTGCCACATTTGCCAAAACTAGATGGTACATATCCTGCCACATATGTCAAAACTAGATGGTACATATACTGCCACATATGTCAAACCTAGACAGTACATAAACTACCACATATGTCAAATTTAGACAGTACATATAATAAAAACTTCATAAATTTGGACTAAAAACTTTTAAAAAAATAATCCAGAGAACAAATCAATAGTCAAAATACATAAAAGTTGGTAAAGCAAGGAACTTCCATTAAAAACAAAATGGCTGAATCCTCTGGGTGTGGCTCCCGGATGAAATGTGATGACAAATCCTTCAGGATTTACAATAAAATTCAGAGGATCAAACCTGATAATTATGATATCTTTTAAAGATGTCGCAAGACATGGTGAGTCTGAGGAACAGGAAGACCTAGCCGTACAGGATTTTACAAAATATACTGCTGAAATGCTACATGTAAAAAAAAAAAAAAAAAAATGTAGCACACATATGTTAATGAGCAGATAGTATATGATTATTTACAATCTGGCAACAATGTACAGCAGAAGTGAAGATGTGAGTCATAAAAAAAAATGATACACATTAACATGATTATTTTGTCTTGCGCAAGTTTGTTCACTGACATTTAAAGAAAATGGATTGCAGGGTTCTTGCACTGAAGACAAGGTGAGCTGCATGATAGGACATGAAAGAAAAAAAGGAGGGGGGGGGGGGGGGGAGATCTGAATTCAGCTCAGACTAAACCATCAGTATTTTTCTAGTTCGTTGTGGCATTATTTTTTTTTAATTCTTCATGTTTTAAAGCAGTCTGTACCCGGTTTTCAGTTTGGGTAATTTTTCAAAATTAAAAATACAATGAAGGTAGATAGTGCCAGACCCGGCCTAAAATTGATCATGTAAAAAAGTCAAGTACCACTGTCAAACCACTGCGCACAAGGCAGATGATGCTAAACTGAAATATTTGTAAAGACCAAATGATGCTAAACTCATTTTTTTGTACAGACTAAATGATGCTAAACACACATATTTTGTATTCACCAAATGGCACACGACGAGCAATGTGGTCACCATTACTTCCCAGTACAGTACCTGGCAACCATTTTAGGTAAAGCAGTCTTTAGCTACATGCTTGCTCGCTTGAATTTCTTGGGTTCAAATCCATGCCATGATGAATGTTTTTTACACACACGCACGCACGCATGCACGCACGCACGCACACACACACACACACATTTATTTAACAATGGCACCCCTGCAGACCCAGTCTAAGGTATCAGGAAGTAAAGGCTGCTGGTGCAGTGCTGAGCATGTCACCACTCAAATACCAGCTGTCTACAGCACAAATACCAGCTGTCTACAGCACAAATACCAGCTGTCTACAGCACAAATACCAGCTGTCTACAGCACAAATACCAGCTGTCTACAGTACAAATACCAGCTGTCTACAGCACAAATACCAGCTGTCTACAGCACAAATACCAGCTGTCTACAGTACAACAGGCAAAAAAAAAAAGTCCTTTAGTTTGCACACTTTACATTTTGTAAGATAAGAAAGTTGCACTTTTAGCCACTTCTCTGCTGCAGCTCCCATATTTTACCATAATGGAGTCAAACACATCCTACCCTATAAACCCTTTCAGTTTGAAACAACACACCAGATGTGACTTGATATGACTTTTCTGTAGCAATCACCTGGTTTTGTACTGTGCAGAATACTGTTTAGTCAGAGCTTTTTGGCTCAAACATTTATGGTTCTTCTTCTCCGTGGTCACCAGCTGTAAACTTTGGCTCAAACATCTACAGTTGTTCTCTTCTCCATGGTCACCAGCTGTAAACTTTGGCTCAAACATCTACAGTTGTTTTCTTCTCCATGGTCACCAGCTGTAAACTTTGGCTCAAACATCTACAGTTGTTCTCTTCTCCATGGTCACCAGCTGTAAACTTTGGCTCAAACATCTACAGTTGTTCTCTTCTCCATGGTCACCAGCTGTAAACTTTGGCTCAAACATCTACAGTTGTTCTCTTCTCCATGGTCACCAGCTGTAAACTTTGGCTCAAACATCTACAGTTGTTCTCTTCTCCATGGTCACCAGCTGTAAACTTTGGCTCAAACATCTACAGTTGTTCTCTTCTCCATGGTCACCAGCTGTAAAACTTTGGCTCAAACATCTACAGTTGTTCTCTTCTCCATGGTCACCAGCTGTAAACTTTGGCTCAAACATCTACAGTTGTTCTCTTCTCCATGGTCACCAGCTGTAAACTTTGGCTCAAACATCTACAGTTGTTCTCTTCTCCATGGTCACCAGCTGTAAACTTTGGTGAAACGTTCTGGTTCTTTGCCCACCTCTAGACTTTAGTCTTTTTCCAGAACCTAAGTGCCGCGTCTACATCTGTTTGAAAGATCTGGCTTATTTGTATGCAAGCTGTTTGTTACCTGGCTCTCAGACAGATGCACTCCAACTTCAAGGAAGCTCCCAATCATTGTTACTTGGCTCTCAGACAGATGCACTCTGACTTCAAGGAAGCTCCTAATCATTGTTACTTGGCTCTCAGACAGATGCACTCCAACTTCAAGGAAGCTCCCAATCATTGTTACTTGGCTCTCAGACAGATGCACTCCAACTTCAAGGAAGCTCCCAATCATTGTTACTTGGCTCTCAGACAGATGCACTCCAACTTCAAGGAAGCTCCCAATCATTGTTACTTGGCTCTCAGACAGATGCACTCCAACTTCAAGGAAGCTCCTAATCATTGTTACTTGGCTCTCAGACAGATGCACTCCAACTTCAAGGAAGCTCCTAATCATTGTTACTTGGCTCTCAGACAGATGCACTCCAACTTCAAGGAAGCTCCTAATCATTGTTACTTGGCTCTCAGACAGATGCACTCCAACTTCAAGGAAGCTCCCAATCAT